TACAGAAAGATTTGCTCCAGCCTGCAAAGATAGATAGAATCAAATAAGTCAAAACAAATAACTTCTAAGTAGAGAGGTCGAATGAAATTCTAGTCACCTCTTCACACCCCAAGATTTGTTTTTTAAAAAGAACAATTACGAGGCAAACGACTTACAACCGAGTTAGCAGAGATCTCTTCTGTCTCAGGCATATGACCAACACATCCGTATCCTGAAAGCTTTGCACTGAAATCTTTGTCGATCTGTATGTTGGCAGTCGAAAATTCATTGTACATTGCCTGCATATGACGGAACCCTTTTGTAACTACACATGTATACGAATGGGGAATTTTTCAAACAAAATAGAGCTTGTTTAAAACAACTGACGCGCTCTCATCAGTTTTATAATGTCAAAATGTTAGATGCATGTTGAGATTTTTTATATATACCTGAAATGGTCCTTCCTCGTGTAAGAAAGTAAGACCCTGTGCAGAACATAAAGCAATTTTCATTCGGGTATTCCAATCAAGTGGAGGTCCATCAGACCTCCCATATAGATGCTGGTCTAGACTTCCATGAAACAGCCTCTCATAGACCAACATTCTTTGTTCCGAATTATCACGTGCATGGTATCCAAGCAATTTACAGAGGTTTGAATGTTGCAATGATGCAATAGTGTTTACTTGATGGATAAACTCCCTTAAACCCTACAGGAACACAGAAAGAACAGATTGAGATAAAATTTCAAGAATATGGCCATTCATACATAAAAGGGTGACATAAAATAAAAAATGTAAATACAACTACAAGGCAGATCCGATAAATGGATGATAATAGCAAAAACATTAAAATTGCATGTACAGAGAAATAAAATATAATGGATGCAATAGGGAAGTACATAGTACAATCATCCCATTGCCATAAATTTTCATTAGAAGAAATTTTATCCTACCTCAGAGGATGAGTGAAGGCGAGTAACAGTAGCTTCAAACTTCTTAGAACTCGATGCATCATCTCCGAAGGAAGCCTTATACAAAACAGATGAGAGACCCTCAGATGTGAATCTATCAGAAGAGAAATGATGGCAAGCTGTAGCAATCTCTTCGTAAGAAAAGTTCCGTAGTGATCCACAGGGAGGCAAGGGCAATGGTCCGGAAGCAAACAGAGGGCCACTAGCAAATCCTGATTTAAAGCTTACCATTTTCTTGAGCCCAGTACGAGGGGGAGAAGGAAGTGGAAGAGGCTGGGGACTTGGTGACCTCGGTTCCTTCACTAATTCAACATGACTCTTTAACTCTTCAAGTTCTTCAAATTCAGCTGATGCAAGTCCATCCTCCTTGGCAGCATCAAAACATGATGGAGCAGATAATGTATGTGTCCTGTCTCTGGTTGTCTTGTTATCAACTAGATATGGTTTTACTCTGGTTCTAAATCTTAGGGGTGCTGACTGCAGTGAACGGGTATGAACTCGAGGCTCGGGCAGTGCAGTAGGCATATGCTCCCTGTGAGCTATGGGCTTTACAAAAACCGAATGCTCAGTCTTTTTCTTCCTACTTTTCAACACTGTAAAACACCCCATCATATATGCGAAACGCCTAAACCGTATTTTGGTCTTCTATGCTTCTTCCAGAAGGAAAAAATATATATAAGTACACAAATGAATAGTTGTTTTGAATGGCGAGAACATACTCGATGCCAATATAAAAGGATTTCAGCAAACTCAATGTGCTATTATATAAGAGGAGCAAGCAATTTCAGTCCATCCATATAATCGATAATACAAAATGTTCAGGGCCTCAACTACAACATATGAGCCATCAAACAATTGAAGACAACATCCAGCACTTCAATTCGTGAAAATTTACATAAAGTGATTATCGATATCGTACCAAGTGATCATGTTCGACAAACAAAGATTGCGTTGCAGTTTACATCGTCCAAATCAAACAAAACCCCAAAATTTTCCAATTCAATAAACTGGATGCAATCTACGGCAGAGGCATGAACCAAACATGCTCAAACGACTATAAAACAATTCAGTGAATAAGCCATATTCATAAAAAATTTCAACCCCAGATACAAGATAATACAAACAAGAGGGGCAGGAATTAATCTTCAAATCTACCAATCAACTATTCGAATTTTCGTGCATGCATGTTAGCGTAAGGCAAAACAGACCCATTAAAGCAATGATAAGAACAAATCAGCAAAAAGACAGATTCCCAACAAAAACACACCATGAAATCATTAATGAATTTCAGCAGAAAAAATATAAAAAAGGGTGAAAAAAAAAACCAAACCATGTAACGCAGGTCACGCAAGAAAGACTTGTATGGAGAGAGACGAAAACCCAGAAATCCTGTTTGGAAGTCAAAGGAAGATAATGGGAAATGCTGTTCAAAAGTTGAGAAATTTTTGAGGAATAGGCAAGAGAAAAACATTGAATTACTAAATATTAATATAACTATTACTATTTATTAAAAAAAACAAAAAACAAAAATACCAATTTTAATTTATTCTCTGTTTACAACAAAGATACGCTTTCAATTTTTCGATTTGACATTTTTGTCCTCGTTATCTCTTACCAAAACAATTTTAGGCTCTGTTTGTGTCAAAAGCCTATTTTTTTTTTAACTTTTTAGATTTTAAATTATATTCAAGTAAAGTTGGGGGAAATAAATGTCTGAAAAAGTAATTTTGAATTTTAAGATGATATTGAATTAATTAAGGAAATAAATATGTTTTTACTTTTTATATTGTAGATAAAATTATGGGTAATTGTAATCGATTTTAATAAAATTGTCTGCATCTGTCGATGATTTTATCAATTATTATATAAATATTCTTAATTAATCTGTCATCTTCAAATCTTTCATTTTTCTAATACACATTTCCCTTTGATTTTATTATATTTAATAATAATAATTAAGATTTTATTATAATAATTAAAATATAAGGGTATATATTTAATATTTCAATATCAAAGATTTTATATTTAAAAATATTATAAATTAATATTTTCAATTCTTATATAAATTTGAATTGATAAAATTATGTAAATAATATTTCTAATTATTTACCGAAACGATCCAAAAGATTATTTTTAAAAATAGAATCATATTCGAAATGAGTGTTATGAGGGGTTTTAGTTTCTTATAGAGGCAGGTTTCCCGTGTGGTCAAATGTACATATCAAGATAAGTACTTGACTATCAGCTTTGACCATCGTTTCAAAAAATAATCGGTTAAGATCTGTTCTTTGTTGTTTGGTGGGACCCACGAACAATCATCAATTTTGTCCTTTTTGCTCAATCTAGCGGTGCATGGGTAAAGGGTGCAAGTAGGTTGGGGTGTAATTTAACGAGCTTAGGGAATAAAGGTTACATTGGTGTTGGTTTAAATTTTTATTATTGTGTTCGTATTGTTTATTTATTATTCGTAAATATATTGGTTTAATATTTATGAATGTGTTTATTTATAAGTTTAGAAATTCAGAAATATGTTCGTTTGACGTTCAGTTAGTGTTTGTTTGGTGTTTGTTTATCGTTCGTTTATATGTATAATTTTTAATTTTATATTTTCATTTTCCGGCTAATAAAATGAAAAAATTAATCCACTAGTGCTTAAACTCCTTAAAATTCACAGATTATTTTTTTAACTTTTACCATTTGTTCAATTTAATCTTTACATTCGCCAATATTTAAAATATAAAAAAGGATAATGAGAATCGGGTAACGAGCTTGTTCATAAACGTAAACGAAAGATTCGATAAATGATTTTGTTCGTGAACATAAACGAATTGAATACACTAAACTTAAAAATTCCAAAAGCCTTTAACGATCACCTCTTTTCCTTTAAAAATTCTAATCACTGAACTTAATTTAGGGGTTTTCATTCTTATATCTATTCTTTAAAAAAAATTCTAAAAATTGTAAGAGAAGAGAAATCCTATGAAGATTGAAGACTCCATTGATGTTCTGCTTTGCAATTGTGGATGCCTAGCTAAGTTTTTTTTAATTTTTTATTTATTTTCTATCAAACCCAAAAAAAGCTTACCATAAAGCATAGCGTTGTCCCCCATTTGCCGCAATAACCTCCATGTAAGTACGATGGTTTTTCTTTGCTCATTTCTTTACTCGTTTTTCTCTCAGACTAATGAAAGAAGAAGAAATAGGTTTATGGAAGAAGAAGAAACGGGTTTATGGAAGAAAAAGAAATGGTTTATGGAAAAAGAAGAAAGAGGTTTATTTATAAGAAGAAATGAGTTTATGGAAGAAGCAGCAATGCGTTTATGGAGGAAGAAGAAAATGTTTATGGAAGAAGAAGAAACTTGTTTATAGAAGAAGAATTGTTCAGAATGGTAAATGAAACCCTTGATCCCCATTATTAATTAATTAGTTAATAATTACATATTAGTTCAAGCACTGTCAAAGGGATTCCAATTGTCCTCCAACGTGGCGGTCAACCCAATCAACCCAGTCCATGTAATCAGTTAATGCGTCAGCTGTGTTTTTCGTCAAACCTGTTAACAACTGTTAACATCGAGTGATCAATTAGTAACAAACGATAATATTAGTGATTGATTTGTGATTTCTAAAACATCAATGGTGAAAACAAAAATTTGCTCAAATGTTAGTGACCAACTGTGTAGTTTACCCTTTTTATATAATATAATGATTATAAGATAATATTCATTATAATATATTTAATTATTAATAATGTATATATATCTTACAAATGTAAATGTATATATATTTAAATTTGGGATTTATAGAAAAAAATCTAGAACACGTTTTTTTATGCATATAAATCTTCGTTATATTACCATAATTTTAAAAATCAATTGTCTTGATTTTTTACTATTTTAAATTATTTATCTATAACACTTAGAAGTAGAGTGAATCCACAAACCATAACACTTTTAGACTGCAAGTTGTAAAATGGAGCACACAAGATATTAACACCCAAAAGTGGAAGATTGCAAATTGGTCCCTAAACATCCGCAAAAGTTGGCATCCTACATCAACTTCCCTCTTGACCTACGTTGCCATTGTCTGTGGCTGGCCGAGGAATGACATCCTTATTTCCTGTCTTATGTTGAAGCAAGGAATGGCGACAATTGGGGCAGGAAGAGCGTGACAGCAGCCATTTGTCTATGCACCTCACATGGAACCCATGCTTACATTTTGGCAGTACTTTAACCTTATCCCCATCCAGGAACTCTCCAAGGCAAATGGGACACTCGCCGGACGTAAACCTCACGCCTGTCCCATAAACAGCCACTGGAATTCGTTCCAAATCTCGTTTTTTGAGTCCGGTCGTGGTCGCCGGACTCTCCCTACGTCTGCAACGTAGCACGAATTGGACTATTGAGTTCAACCCCATGGCAAACATCACGACACATAAAAGAACCACCACCTGCTTGGTCTGGCTAATGTAGGAATTATGGTCATGAGTTTTGTTCCCACTTGCTGGTGCTACTGCCATGCTCACTTGTGTCTCAAGCAACCGCCGATAATTCATATACACAGTTGCTGGTAACATGTTAGAGACGGAAAAAACACAAAAAACAAAAACCAGAAGCCGAGCAAGTTTGGTTTAGAGTAGAACAAGTGTTTCAAGTCGGTGTTCCTCGGGCAGAACACAAAGGAGTTTGGAAGTTGTTTTAGGCCACAATAACGTTCAAGATTCCAACCAGACGGGCACATAGAAAGAGCATCTCCTAATCTCTGTCTCTAGGATAAGGCAAAAGAGAACAAGACTGCAAATTGTATCGTGGCCTAGGTCGGGGACCGTTTTCACCTGCAGGATTCCCCGTCTTTTTGTCCCAAAACCAACAAAAATGAATCCAATGGGTTGCTTAGATTTTAAAACAATTTCTAACCCTTACCTTAGTCTCCCCATCATTTGCCTGAAAACTATAGCTGTAAACCCTACTTGTGCATAAACAAGGGATGGAATCCTTCATTTATACTTACGAAGCCGACTTTATTGTATGTGAGGCTCAACTTTCACAATATCCAAATACAAGATTCAACGTTGAAAAGTATCACTAATCATCATGAAAGGATTAAAAAGGTAAGATATATTACTATTGATGGTTTGATTTGCCTCATGTATGATTGTAAGATTTTTATTAGAATAGAAACATATAAAATTTTAAGATACGATAAATTGATAAAATTTTAAGGGATGAAAATAAATTTTTAATATATATATAAAAAATATCTAAAATATATAAGAATTTTAAATTTCTAGAAAGACAAATATCTCATCCACTCCTCTCGTATATCCAAGGTTTGCCTACCACATCATGAAAACCTTATTAAGATATTCTTGAGACTAAAACAGCCGTTTGATAACATTGTATTTGTGTGAGAAAATCTAAGGAACAACAATCTAATCTAAGATTAAAAAACAACGAAATAGACATAACAAAAAATGTGATAAAAATATAATCAATGAGATTAAAAAACATAATATTTTAATCACATTTTCAATTATGTCCATATCTATTATTTTTAACTTTAAATTAGATTATCATACCGAAAAATTACCCATGTTTGTTCAGCTAATGAGAAAGGGTTTGGTCGTGAAGGCTGCCATGTTCTAATTCAGTTTTACAGGTCACTTTCGACATCATCATAAGAAGATAACTATTACGATTGACACAGTCATCACCTTGTAAGAAAAAAACTTATCTCTTACCCTTTTCAACTTTATAAAAGAAAAAGTAAACTGATATTTGCATATTATTAGTAAATTAGATGTTATATTTTTATTTATTATGAAATTATTTTTCAAAATTTGAATGCAAAACTTTTAATTTTGTAATTAAAATATTTCAACTTTATTCATAATTATTTATTAAATTATTTTTTGTAAATATATATTTTTATAAAATATTCTCATTCCCTAGCATCGTCAAGGAGTTAATATTTTATGCAGTATTAAGAAATAAAATTATGTGGTATTGTTTTGATTACAATGAGTTTTGGAAGCGCACTAAGATCAATGTGGTCTTTCTAATGTTGTAGTGGTAAAAAAAAGGATGTCTAAACTTTTCACGTATGAATAAATTTGTGGGCACACATCTTATCAAGTTATAGATACTCTTTTACTTTAAATTCTTTTATTATTGTCTGTATTATACATAAATTAAATTTTGAAATTTTAATACTAATTTAAATAATAGTAATCTTTCAATTATTAAGTATATAATGATTAATATAAAAGCTAATGACAATGTATAAATCATATAATAATAATTGATTTAATTTAATGAATTACTCGAATCATGATAAAAACAATTATGGTAAAGATGTGATTTTATTTAGGTATTCTTATTTGATTCAAATTTGAAATGATCATCCAGCTCAGTTGGTAGAACGCAAGGTTGTTAAACTTGAGGTCGTGGGATCGAGTCCCACGGAGGGCATTTCATAATTTGGAGGTCTCTCACGGAAGCTGCTCTCAACCTGACGTTGGGGGCAGCCTACTATCCTACCTCCCCTTACCCCACATATGAGAATAAGGTTCAATTAATTTATTTGATTCAAGTTTGATAGATTTCAATTTAATTTTATTGGTATTCTTATTGCAGGTACAAGTTAAATTTCTTTTCAAGGACAAGATCGAGTAAACTCTGACCCAACCTAAGATAATAGTATATATATAATTATAACAATAACTACTTTTATATTTATTCAATTAAATTTCTAATTTATCGAATAAAATACATATTTTATGGTAATTTAATTAAGTTATATTAAAGCGAAATGGTTTATGAAATACAATATATGTTTTATTTATTTTTATATTTCTTTCTTATTTCATATTTGTTAATATTAACATATTTATTTTACAAAAATAATGTTCCAACATCAGCCACCAAAAACATATATAATTACCAAACCTCGTTGGTTCCACATAATCGTAAGAGAACATCAAGTAATATCGAAAACTTGTAACACGGTGGGTTCTACTTATTCCATTACAGGCTTAGGGTTTTAGTTCATAGGTTTGTCTTGAAAATTAGTAAATTAACAAGGGTACGTACTTAACTTTTGCATACTAATCAATCATCTCTTGATGCAACATAAGAAAAAAGACTATAAACTTATATAGATCATTAATTAACCACTAGGGTTACAAATAGTTTCAAATCCGAAAACAACATCAACACAGCTTTCCACAATCTAGTAGCCGACATTACACACTGTTTTACTACATATAGTAGTTTTATTACATAATTTTTAGCTTGCAAAATAACACCAACATCGACCTCAGTTCACTGCACCCTGCAACACTCATCATCACCAATATACATTAGATGCATGGCACAAAGAATGTGATATACAAGGGAACTAAGAGCCTTACTTGTCGCAGTCAGTGGAAGGGCAGATTTTGTACGGGATATCGAGACCGCATTTTTCGGGGATTCCGGCAACCAGATCGTAGTTGATGTTAGAATACCCGATCCCATTCACGGCTGATTTGATGCATTTGCACACACTTTGGCGATCACCCGGGTTTTGAGCCTCGCCATAGAGTGTTTTCACCCCACTGCAGCAAGCAGAAGAAATTGGTCCGCCGTTTGAAATGTAGGAAAGGCATGGCATCAAGTTGCCCACCACGTCGCTGCAAGTGATCGTTGCTTTGACCATCTCGGGTGCACCGCTTATCACCGCCATCGAAACGACGAGCATTAGAGAAACCGACTTCCAGACTCCGGCAGCAGCCATGATAGTTGGACTCTATTTGGACAGTAGAAAATGTATTACAAGAGATGAGTTATGTGGCACCCAATGCCGGTGTTTATATAGGATGGATGGATAGAGATGTAATAAAATTGAAAGTGGATCGGTAGTTGGGACTTGATGTATTGCTTTCATGGATACCGTTGAGCAATTAAATGCTTATACCATAGATGAAGAAGAAGCTCAAAGGGATTAAAAGGAAATAAATTAAGTCATTACTTCTTTTGATGTATTGTTTATATGTAAATATAAATCATGTTAACCCAATTCTACTATAACTCAAATTAATTAGAAAACAATTCAAATGATTTGAAATAAAATTATACGGAACTCAAACCAAAATGCGTAGAATATTAAAATAAAGACCCTAAAGAACATTCCAATTGCTCATACTATAATATTGTAAATATATTGCTTTTTTTAAATAGTAAAAACTAAATGGCTGACTAACGAGAGTTGGTTCAAGTGATAAGTAACTTAATATCACTTAAGTAAGTCTCAATTTCGAGTTCTTGTATATGCAGAAAATCTCCGTTGAAAGGCTCATCCACTACATCCAAGTGTGTGACCGAGTCAATCCGGATTAGCAACTAAGTCAATCCCGGATTAATTAAGGTGAAACTTTGACAACCATCCGGCTAAGTAATACAGTGAACACCAACTGATTACGCATCTCATAAAAAACTCAGCTGTCTGCATTATTATGTTTCCATTATTGTTCTCCGATTCTAATTAAAGGGTTTTAGATTTTTCAGTTTTAGATTTCATATATTACCTCCTCAACAAACACATACATAATTTTTGGTTGTTTCTTCTTGTTATAGATTACTATCTTCATATAGTAGGAGAGTAAATTTTTAATAAAATTTATATTAAAAATTTAATGTATGAAATTATAAAGTTTTTGAAAATGTCAAATTAATTTACTAATAAAAAATACCTAAATAATATGATACAATCGCCAACGCACCATCAATCTTAGCTTAAGAATCGAGTCAAAGTTAAATTCAAACTTAAATTCTAAAATCTCTTTAATATCAAATTAATTTGATTTAAATATGACACATAAATCTAAATAATGCAAAATCATGCGACAAATCGCCTTCACAAGTGAGAAATTTTGCATGCAAGCAACGTGTCTTTGGCAGATAGGTTACTTTTTACTCGAAATTTGCATGAGCGTGCATTGCTGAAATGATATATATAACAAAATTAATATATTTAAATATGTAATATTTTTATTTAAAATTTGAATAGTATAAAAAATGTAGATAATTTAACATTTCATTGATGACATCATATGACGGCTTCCTCGACATCACATATATGACTGCTTCCTCGTCTATATAAAGTTGTGAGAAAAATAATTTCTTTATATAATATATTTTTCATATTATTTTTCGAACTAAAATAAATTTTTTTATTGGTCTGAAAATATCACACACTCCTAAATTACCTAAACGTATCGTGAAATCTTATTTATTTACCTGTCTTATTCATTTATTCATTTACCTGTCTTATTCATTTACCTTCTTATTCATTTACCTGAAATCATAAAATCTTCATATTTAACTTGAATCTTCATATTTAAGTTACTTGAAAATACATAAAGCATATAACATTTTTAGGTTGATAATGTTCTATTCACCCTAAATAAAAAATAATATTAATATCTCACTTAAGATAAGTGGACTATATTGAAAATTAAAATATCTCACTTACGTCATTTCTCCCATATATGACTAGAAAAATACAAACGAAATTGGTGGAAAGCCATCGCCCATGTGTTGGGTGGCTTTATAGACAGCAACACCACATAGAGCTATAAATAACACAAGTGTCGCCATGCATGCTACACTACACCTCTCTAACAAGACACGTATAAATTAGTGCCTCAAACTTTTTTAAAATTATTTAATTTTGATTTTTTATTTGTGTTGATATTGATATTGATATTAATATAATCATATTAATAATAATTATTCATAATGTGTTTAAATTTTTAAATTCAGACACGAAAGTTTTTTTTTTTTTTGAAAATTCAGACACGAAAGATGGTTAAACCGAAGTTACATAAACTAAAAATAGGGCTAAAAGAAAACCCACCAAAAAAAAGAACAAACCATAATTACCAAATTGCTATCATCAACGACACTCTAATCACCATCCAAATCCTAAATCACTTGTTCAATAGTTGCATTGACGGTCCTGATCCATCCCCCACTCTCTGATCCCCAACTGTAACTCGGCCGCGGCAATCAGGAACTCTATAGCTTGTTGTGGGGTCAACAACTCCACCACTCTCTTCAGCGTTCTTAACCGTAGATCATCGGCCTTCCAAACGACTGTTACCAGCCGTCCGATCATTTGATCGACGTCGGTGGATGCTCCCATAAGATCGCTCACACCGTGCTGCCACTCGGATAATTCATCCGTAATTGCATTCTCTTCCTTCACCGTCTCGCACTGTAACTCGCTCACTCGCCTGTAAATCACAAAATATGTTTTAGAAAATATCGTCATTTGTTTGCATGCATGTAGATGGCGGGTTTTGACCTGAACTGTGTAGGTGAGAGGTCACCGAGATCACCGGTTCGAACCCCACGAAGGATATCGACGATGTGGGATTCGAACAGAATACTGGACTCGGTGTAAACCAAATGGAAAACCGTGGTCGGCCTCCACCCGGCAATCCAATGGAGGCTTTTCTCGAAAGAGGAAGCCCATGGAGCGGCGAAAATGTCGAGGACGTCGCGTTCGGCGGCAGCGGCTTTGACTCTGTAGTACTCCGAGTAGTGGGAGAGGAGCTTGCTGACAAGGTGGTTCAAGTGGTGAAGCTGGTCTTGTGTGGTGGGTGGTTTCGGGGCCGAACAGAGCTTCCGGAGAAGTTGCTGGAGTTGGTCGCTCCAGGCTGTGTAAAAGGTGGCGAAGCTGCTCATTTTGGCGGGGGTTAAGGTGTTTGGTTGTGGGGGGTACTTCGCTGTGTTTATAAACAGCGTTTGGGGGTAATTTGGATTGTGAATGAAGGGCAGGTGTCGAATACCTGGAACAGTAATTTAATGATGAGCATTAAAAGTTTTAAGGCTTTTAAAAGCATAAAATTCCAGTTCAGGATCTCGTTCCGACTATAAAATTACTTTGGTATTTTAAATTTATATAGACTTTTACTTTTTTTATAATAGGTAAATAAAATCTAATTCTACTCCGGATATTATCTTTTATTTTGGACACTAGTAGCTTCCTTCAATTGAAAGCAATTGACATGCATGTGCAATGCTTAACTGTTTATCCAAATTAGAACCGTGTTGGGCACTATTTCTACTCGTCTGCCGACTTCACTTGAATCCAAATTATACCGAAATTTGTTAACATGAGAGCTCGGGAATGTATTACGTACAACTATCTTAATATATAATTAAAGAAAAATATTATCAGAATTTTTTTTTATATTTATGATAAAACGTTATTTAAAACATTATATTTTCTACTGAAAATGTTATTATTGGGTGTTACTTAAAATGTTTAACATTTTCAGTAAAATTTTATCTAAAACATTATTTTTTACCGAAAATATTAATATTATGTTATACCGATATTTAGTTAACGAAAATAATATTTTCGGTAAAAAATAATATTTTAAATAATGTTTTACATAAAATATTAAAAAAATAATAATATTTTAAATAATATTTTTAACTGTATATTAAAATTGTGGTACAATTTTATTATCTTGTGAGCTCACTTATAAAGGTTTTCAATCCATGCTGTACTGACATGACAAAAGTTCTTCCCTTCAAGTTCAAAATATCTAATATTTCCTTGTACAATATAATATTAATCCCTTAAAAACAATTAATTTATTATCAGCTCCTGTATTCATTATCGAGGATAAACCCTACCAACCTTGGCAATAAACTTTTTATAAAGAGCTGAGATATTTAACAGCATACGAGTATATGCTAAATTATGAGTAGAATATCCTATGACAAAAAAAATGTCTCCTCGGGAAATAAATGTCGGGCATTTCCCCACTTTTTAATATTTTACATCATCCCTTAAAAATATGATTAGTTTTATATATTTTTAAAATTTCAAAATATTTTTATCAGTCTTTAAATTATTAATATTATTTTTAGATTGCTATTTAATTTATTAATTAACTAATTTAGATAGAATATTGTAGAAATGAGAGTGACATTTTTAACCTAGTTTATTATATTCACAAACGTTATGATTCAAATCTCTTACTTTACTTAAGAGATTTGATGTCTCATCTCACTAAACTAATTGATTATTAATTAAAAAATAATATTAATAATCTAAATATTAAATGTAAAATATTTTAAAATTTAGAATCAATTTAAAGCTGAAATTATAATTTAGGAATCCGATGTGCAATCGACTCCAATATCTATTTGGGATTAAACAAGTAGGATGTCTATAATATTCAATGTCCCACTCCAAATCGTCAAACAGCTAAATGGCTCATGCAACCATGCCCACATCACGTTGTTAACTTCATAATTTATTACTATTAATGGCTTAATCCAATGAATTTTCTCCACAATTGTTTAAAATAATATTTTTAAACTAAATTGAATTTAGTTTAGTTAATATTGTTATTGATAACGTATCAATTAAGCTATATGGTCTTGGAGCGTTTTATTCTCGTCAATAATTTGACAGACAGCTATGGAGAAACCGTAATAATCGTGTTTTTCAGAATATACACAGCGACTCCCTTTCGACTTTTCATACGGTTGCTTCTTGGAGCAAAGCTTATCTCGACTATCATGGTACCCAGGTTGCTCCCGTTAGCCACGTCTCCATCCCGGTGCAGTGGAATTCGCCGGCTGTCTGGTGGCTCTGCTTGAACACTGATGATGCTCTCTCACAGTTGACAAATTCTGGTTCAGTTGGGGGGCTGCTTCGAAACTCCAATGGTGATTGTTTGATGGCTTTTCGGATGTGGGTAGGGATTACACAGAAATTTTATTTCGTGGATTTCGTATCATACTTGTTTTAATTGGAGCGTAGATAAATACAAATTTAGTGAGTATTAAGTACGTGTGAATGTAAAAAGTTATAACGGTAGTGGGTAGTGGTTAGGTGATGAGTTTGAAATTTTATCCGTCCCATATCCGTGTGCCTTGTATGTACCCATCCCATATCTGTCCGCCCACTAACTACCCGCCATGTAAATTTTGTATCATTATGGATTTAAATATAATATCAAAGATTATTCAATAAATTTTAAGATTTTACGGACATGACTTATAATTTAACCAATTATTTATATTATATAATCTGTAACGTTGTTGTTAGGCATGTATGAACAGAAACAGACGAATACGAGATAGATAGTAGATATCTAGTTGGATATTGAATGTGTGGATAATTTTGAGAATGTAACTATATAGATATGTGTGACTTTAAAAATTTTACTTATAGTAGGTGATGAATATGTGGTAAATATAAAAATATTAAATGATATGAAGACGAGATTAGGATATTTACATCTACCCGTCCGTTTACCATCCTAGTGATGGGGTATTTTTTAACGCCTCCGAATAGCTGGGCAGCAAGTAGCTCATCGTGTTGCATTCAGACTGACAGCAGTGAAGCTCACAGTCTCATTTCTCCGCCAGCAATAGACAGCCCTCTTGCCTTAGTCCCTTGATTTTGTAAAGATTTATTATGAATTCCGCGACAGATTACATCGCTAAAATGGTACTCTCCATGAGGTTCCTCTCTTACTGATCTTTCGTATAAATATCTATGGTCCTTCTTACTATAGGTTGAATAAATCTTTGTAATGGCTCTCGCCTCCCTTTCTGTTAAAAAAATTGTTATTGTTGATATAATATATATAAAAGTATAAAATTAAATAAAATTAAATATTTGATATTTAAAATTTATGAATAAAAGGAACATTAATAATATAAATATTGAAAACAGTATTTTTTAAGAATATTTATTTTATTAAAGTATTTTTTAATAATCAATAATGAAATTGGGATAGTGGATGAAATAATTAATCACTTAAAGAAGGTTTGTTATTTTTTTATTAAACAAATGTATTTATAAAGTAATATTTATTCTAAATATTCTTAAACATTTGGAAATGAATCTTCTATCATTTTTGCAGTCACTGGTGCTCGAACTCAATATCTCTAAGAACAACAACAATTTTTTTAACAACTGAGGTAATTTGGTTAATGCAATAAAGTTTGTCATTAGTTTGAGGTGATTATAAAATATTACATGTTTATAATTTTCTTAATCAATTGATAAGAAACGTGCACACACCCAGTAGAAGTAATTGTTCGAGTCTAAAACTTAAGGGAGAACAATAATCGTTTTTACTACTAAAATCATTTTATAGGTTCAAATAAAGTTAAATATTCAAATCTTAACATTATCAACATAACGAATAAAATAAATTGAGTTAAAAAGTTATTCTAAAAAAAATTAATATTTTTTGTCACAAGATAAAAAAACAATTTTTTATTTGTGGAAATATATAAATTGTTACATAATAAATGTATAAATTCCAAAAAGAGAATAAGGTTTAAAATAAGCCATGGTCTCACACTTTTCACCGTTTTGCAATCATCAAAATTTTCCCATTCAAAAATTAGAATCCATAGTTTTCACCGTCGTTTTGTCGTCATTTCCGCTGTCGTTTTATTCCTTTCTACCCCACCCCAAGAAACCCTCCTGATCGTGCCAAAATAATTAATAGTAAAATATAAAACCCCCGTGCATTTAGGGCGATTTCACCTGATCCGTTTTTTTTTAAATTCTCCCGTTCTAACACTCGTTGATCAATATTTCTTGATGTAACACTATTTCGATTGAGGTGACACAAAGGCGCATCCCCGGGGACGCGTTTTACTTGGGTTTATGCTAAGTCGGATGTCACGTGTGAAAGGCGCATCCCCGGGGATGCGCTTTATATGGGTTCTACTGAATCAGATGTCACGCTGATATTTCTTTTAATAATAAAGATTTTATTTTTATTATTATTATAAATAATTAATATATTATGTAAAAGGTTTCGATTATAATTTAAGAATTATCGAATGTATTTTTTAAATGTGTGTTAAAGGTGGAGTGAATTTAGGTTTTAGTGTTATATGTTTCAGGGACTTTGGCATTCACCCATTCCACGCGACATTAATCGGATGGAATAATAGATGAAAACCAGCTTTGATCTTATTATAGTTATAGGAAAAATGTATTAAATTATAATATTACACATATTGTTATATATCTATTATTTTTTATTATCGATATATTAATTTTATCACTTAATTATTTAAATGTTATCAATCTAGTCATTTGTTATCAATATTTAAAGAAATTATTGATGCATAAGTTAATAAAATTAGTATAATTGCACATTTAATCTTCAATAGTTACATATTTTATCAATTTAGTCTTACTTTTAATTTGTTTAATTTAACATTTTTTCTCTACTTAGAAGGTGTAATATTATAATATTTTAAAATTAATAATTAATTTTTTATAATAAATAATATTAATTATTATATTAAATAAATATCATCAAATAATTTTTAAATAAAAATTAAAAAAATTATTTAGGTGTACATACATTGAGAAATTATAGAAAATGCAATTACATTTAAATATTAGAAACAAAAACATTCATTTAAATAGAATATTAATTACATAAGAGTTAACTGTTATGTGATGATAACAGAGCTGAACATTTTTTTCTATTGTGCCCGATGTTTCTACAATGCCCACATCGTTTTTGTTCTGTTGACTTCTCTCGAATATCCATATCACAATGTATTCTATTAGATTTTGGACGACCTGAGTCCCTCAAAAGTAATTGATCTGGTACAATTGTAAGCCAAGTTTGAATCTCATCTGGGTCTCTTTCGTTTCCTATGGGCGGAAACTCAAATTCATATATCTTGAATACTTGTGAAAGTTGGTATACGAAATCAACATAATTTTTGTAGTCCAAATGCGAATGTGAGCAATGCAATGACGTGAGAACATGGATATTTGAGTGCTTGAAA